ATCATTTTGTTTAATTAGGTCCACCGGGTCTTTTAGCCTACAGAGCTTGTCCCTGAGTGAGTTTGTAGGTTTGAATGCCACCCTAATTCCTGATTTATTAAGAATCCTACATAGGGTCTCAGATGTCCCCTCCTTATATGGTATAACTGTAGATGCCTTATATTCTCTCCTATTTATGTTATCATTACTAGTCTCACAATTATTTATATTTTTATTTTGGCCTTATCTAATCTTCCTAATGTATTTCAAAGGATAGTTATTTAACACCGACGCTTCTTCTATCTGTTTTATCTCGTCGTTTAGGTCTTTTTTTGTGCTACTTAGTGCTATGGCTCGGTTTGTTAGACACTTAACTAAGCCTGCCTTATCAGTTAACAGATGAGATGAGCTCGTAGACCATTCAGCCACTGGGGACCCACTCACTGGCCGCCATTCCAAGAATTCTAATTTCTAACGGTTCGTGACTCCTCTTAGCGCGACTGGCATCAGCGAATGTTGTTTCATCAGTGGTGAGTATTTGTCCTCACTGTCGACCTGGTGGACCCTAATGGTCATAACTTCTCACTCAAACTTCAGGCAGGCAACTTCATTCTGCGGTCAGCCACTGACAAGCATCAATGGTCCTCTAACTGATATCATTCCGTGACGAAACTTGAAATAAATTGAAGGTCTACAAATAAATTCATGAAAGCTGCTTATTCAATCAGTTCAAATGAGGTTTAACAGTTACTGATTCGTTATTTGAAAATGCCGACATTTCGAGGTGTGAATGATGCATTTTTTTCACTTTCTCTCATTGTTTGTGTTTCTAACCAAACAACATTAAGCTTTAGGCCTTGAAGTTTCATTAGTCGTGATGATTTTGTTTCCTCGGTGTGTGTTCTGCACTCACACTGAGCCTAACCTTATCCTCTCCTGGGATTACTACTAGTTCTTCCATATGAGTCAGAAACATGGCGCTCGCTTCAAGAAAAGCATTCCCAACCGGCTGCCGCAGACTTTCATCAACAGTTGCCTTCACTGACTCCATACCGAAGATCACACAGCTGGCCAGAAAGAATCTGGCAATGAATAAACCGACAGGTGAGAACCTATTGCTCAATAACTATCCCAAAGAAAGTGGAGATGGATCAGAAACACACTGAGGAGACCATGGAATGACATCGCGCTCAGTGCAGGTCGTTTGTCGAGTGGAAGGTTAATCGGAAACGATGAGTTGGGTTTTGTTCCGAGGGTGACATGGAGGAGATCATTTGGACAGGAGAAGATGAGAGATTATGGGCAATCGTGGGTCCGAATAAAGAAGGCTGCACAGAATACAACAAAATGGAGAGTTGGTATTCCACTTGGAGCCCAATGGAACAATAATGATAATACTATCAGTTGGTGGGGTTTATGAGTGCGTTGGCCTGTAATTCAACGTGGATCTCAAAGCTAAAGCTTGAAGCCGCATGTTCCAATCGGAACAGATGATTTTGGCTCATGTCGAAATCTCTTAAACAATTGATACTAGATGTGAACCTCCGTTACAGAATATTACCAGTCACTGAGGTTCAGATATATCCACCTGATCGGAGCCGAATAGTACAAAACACACATACTAGATTTTACTGTTAGCTACTTAAATAACATGAATTAATTGTTTCGGTAGTAATTATGTAATATTTGCAGTCAATGGGTATCGTCAATTTAAACCCTTTAGTTAACAAAAACACAATCCTCAAGTGTTGCCTTGCATGGATTTGGTTGGTTATAGGATTCGTCATGGGTTGACATCAGTTAGACAAACATTCGGAAACCTTGGAGTACTCGGCAGACGTTCATTCCTGTCTGGAACTCTTCGACAGTATGCACCAATCCCACTGCCAGGGTTCAAACCCAGGACCTCCTGCTAACCGGGTGAATTAATAGACCTTGAACCACCAGGACCCAATCCAGTGACTAGTCCATGAATTCCAGCTTCTGCCAATTCGTGACACAGCCGGTGGTCACAGGCGAGTGACCGTCCTCTTTCCTGACTTCTTGGAGCCCGCTGGTTGCTTACAACTTCTCATTAGAACCCCAGATAACTTCCCCTATAGGGCCAGTCGCTAGTGAGCATCAGATTGGATCACCTCGTAACTGGAAGGTCCTGAGTTTGAACTCTAGTGGGTGTGTAATGCTGAAGAGTCCCAACCTAGGCTAGCGAAACAGCTGTCTAATGCTCTCAGGTCCCCTAGTAGTTCTCTAACTCATGTCAGCTCGTTATCAGTCCTCCAAAAAACGTAATCAGTTATAGATTCAAAGTTTTAAGTCTGACTGATTAGTGAGTAAACTCCTCCCTCTGCCCACTTTGCTATTCCAGCTATATAAATAATTTCACTGAATTTCTGTATGGAAGCGGCAACTCGCAGTTTACTTCATCAGAGCTGATGTTTCCTTGTCAAGTTTGATCAAAACGGGAGTATTTAAGAGACCATTAAGCTTAATTAATCCATCAGTGGTTCAGCGGTTGAATGCTCGCCAACCATGCCTTACGTGGACCAAGGTTCTATCCCCGGCCGACGCACTCATAAACCTCGCTTGCTTAGCCGGTAGTAGGCTTCCTAAAGGAGAAGGGTTGTATTTGAGGCCAGTAACACCACTGCTACTGAAACTTCTAAAAGATCAAAGCTTAAAACCCGCTCTCTATATTCCCTTGTCGGAACTCATAGAAATAAAATAATAAGGAAAGCCTAATTAGGCTAATAGAAAGAGTAACGGAAGGTTAAGAAGCATCTAAAATCGGCAATTACAAATGCAGCTCACTCACACTTAAGTACAGTCATAGACGTTACTAGTGAACTATTCAAGTTCACTATGTGGTGTCTGCTACTGACAGGATTTATCAGTAGTATATAAGGAGACGTTTATCGACATAAATACATCAAATAGCAGGGAGATGGATAGATTTGATGTCAGAGAAAGCAAATGGTACATGGTTGCGGAGATATATAGAAGGAACACAAAGAAACACAATTTGAAGGAAGGCCAGAAGTAGCACAACACGGAAGATCTGTGCAAATGGTGCGTTGAAGATAAGGTGTACCAAATCTCTCATCTTCTACCGTTACAACTATATGTAACTCTTGTAGGCCTGTTATTAATATGACGATTGGTTACTATAGAGTGTAACTACTAAAAGCATATATCGTCTTGTCCCATCGTGTCGCTGCTGACTGACTCTTCTTTCAATCAATTTTACAAATGTCATCCATCATGAAGCTAGGAGACATTTCAGCCATCAGTAAGTGCACTTTGAAGTCCTGTGCTTAGGTTTTAGGCCTGTAATAGCACTTGTTAGCAAGGCGTATCTGCTTATTCTCAAAGGAATAGATGCCCTCTCTCTGTCTGCTGGAGATTCAATCGTGAGTCACCACCTTCTCCCCCTCAAAAATAAAATTAGAGACATTATCAGTGAGCCGTTTTCGAGAATCATTTAAAAAAAGTACAGTCGAACAGTTTATATACTGCTAGCTCGAATCCCTCCACAAACCCGGGTTTCTAAACAAATTTAGTAGTCTCCTTCAGATGACATCTGAGTGTACCTTATATAATAATATCAATAATAATAATAATAATGGTAATAATTTGCTTTATTCCGAAACACTACTTATGATAGAGTATGGTGGAATTTTTAGCATTTTTCTACAATATTGCATCTAATTTACCAGACAACAGCAAAAGCAAAAAACTGTATTACAGGGTGCATGTAACCAGAATTGATAACAGTGGCGTTTTTGGTATTTTCAGTGACAGTAAAGTCAAAAATGTTCAAAAAGTGTAAAATAATAATAATGATCATCATCATCATGGTGATAATAATGTTAGTATCTAGAGTTGTAAGTCAGTTGAAATAGTGTCGCCATAGATTTAATACAGAAGAAAATAAAAGAGCCGATTATTTTGCTAATAATAACATAGTAGGTCACAGGTTTCGCACTTAACATTATCTTTAACACACAGAACTCAGGCGGGCCAAACAGAGTGGGTATCGTTGAGTTTTCATACTTCTTTGTGTAAGCACATATTATTTTATAATGACTTCCCATTTTACCTGATGAGATACAAGGGGAGATTCGTACCACAAACTTGATTACATATTTCAGTAAAGACCAGCACAGGTATGCAGAAACTAGGTTCCGCCTTGTTTGAGACCCGTCGATTGACCATACATGCATTCTAATGAATGTTACCATCTGTCTCATCTGAATATTAAAGAATATCGAGGCATTTGTACCAGCACAAGAGTTTCGAACAAGAAACTATGAGAACAAACTGACCAAGAACCTATCGTTCAGTAAATATGTAGGAGAAAATGAGGATGGATAGGACAAACGTCACTGAGGAGACCAGCGAATGACAGAAGATCGCTCGAGTGGAACACAAATGAGGAATGACGAGTTGGGCGTTGTTCTGAGGCTGACATGAAGGAGATCTTTTGAGGCTAGCTAAAGAAGTCCATAGAGAATAGGAAAAAGTGTAGATGCGCAGTTGAAGCTCCATGTTCCACTCGGAACCCAAGGAACTGTTTAGTAGTACTCACTCAGGACCCTCACGAGGTGACCACTGAGCCAATATCTAGTGTTAGATGAAATCTACCTTGTAAACCCACTGAATCCCTATAATTATTATTCTTATTGGTAATAAATATGCATCCTTGAATTACTGTGGTGTTAATGCTCACCAGCTGTGCACATCATTGTTCCTTGTTCGATTCCCACCTGGTCGACACACTCCCCCGAACCTCGCCTAGTTTTCTAGCGCTAATAATTATAAGCCTGTGAAAATGGGAAGGTTGACTATGAGACTAACAACCTTAGCCCCACCCCCACCCCTCCTTGGAAAAACACAATACCACCGCAATTAAAACTTCAAAAAACACTTAAAGATCGATACTCCACTCATGAAAGTAAAAGTAAAAAATAATAAATGAAGAAAAAGTTGTTGTTACTATTATTATTGATAATTTATTGATCGATTTATTGACTTACCGTCGTGAATGTTTTTTGTGGTCTTTCAAATTCTAACAATTGTAATTCATCTGATATAGTCACAGGTTTTTCATGATGCCATATAAATTTCAACTGATCTATTGTATATCCATATGAGCCTATATCCACAGTACATTCTTGTCTATCCATAGGGAAATTTTTCAAATACATTTGACATGCTAATACCATAGTAATTTTTTGACTATATAACACTTGTCCATTGGATTTAACTCTCAACAAAAAATTTGGTTGGGATATATGATGTAAGAAACCAGATTTTCCATTACGAAAAAATAAATCTGGTAACCATAGTTGCTTTTTTTGTTGATTCAACAGGAGATTACTCACTGAACTATTCAGCACAGGATTTGCTTCCCAGGCTAGTCGGGGATCAATCCATTGTTGACGTAGATAACAATTCATGGTATATTCCATACGGACTACATTACTCGAAGAGATATCAATAATTTGCATATTCACGGTAACTATCGTGGGATCTAGCGAATTCTCATTTGGTCTTTGATGGGATTTATAATTTGTTAGAATATGCTTAAGAATTTGTTCTGTTCTCGATTCACCGGTTAAATGAGCATAAGCCAGATCAGATTTAATCGTCGATTCTATGCCTAGTGATGATGATGATAATGACTCTGGAGGTGGGGATGCAGATAATGGATCGAATGAATTATTTGAAATGGAAGTTCGATATGATTGATTATTGCTAATACGACTACTACTACGCCTACTATTATTGATATATTGATTATTTACACTATTTAAATAAGCATTCCATTTATTTTCATGTACAGCTGATGGATAAGATAAATTGACTAATTCAGTAATCGGTAGATATTCTTGTTGACTTGAGGCAGAAGAAGACACTGACGAAGAAGTAAAAAAGTTCAACGGTGGGCCGATATTATTCGATGAAATAGGCCTATTGTGAAGATGATATGACTCAAGTTTATACAATGGTGGATTAAAGTGTCGATTGTTATCATTACCATTATTATTATCATTATTATTATTACTATTGTCAACTTCAGTGATGAATGGATCTTCTAATCGATTCGCCTCAACCACTTTAATAATCAATAAATATTTTCTTGATATAATTAATAAATTCATATAACATATAGTTTTGATAACCAAATATATAGTCCGCCAAAACCCAATGGCCATTAATCAATTAATCATTTACATGATCTTGAATAAATAGGTAGGCATGTATATAAATATAGATAGATCTTCTTTTCATTGATTTTTAGAAATATATTGATTATTTTGCACACTTATTATTATTCCATACATATTTATTTTCAAAATGGGATCAATAAATAGATTCCACTAAACAATCCTAAGAACAATAGATTTAGTAGTATAAGCTTTGAGCATTAGGAATACGATTCATTCAAAATAAATTGAAAATTTAATTCAAATTTATATTTATAGTTATTTAAAAATGTTATACATATTATATTTTCATGCAAATACTAAGTCGTGATTAATTTTTATTAATTGACCAATCAAAATTGGAGATATATATCATTGTGTGTCATACATATCTCAATATACTTTTACCTGTCTCTATATGATTGTGCTCAGGTGTCTTTTACTTCAACAAATAACACTGGATACAATTTATGCTTGTAGGATACATGGGGAAGGCATCAATGCACATTTATTCCATTATTATCATCATTATATTCTATTATAATGTATGTATACGCTTACACGTCGAATGTACTCAACACAACAAAAATAAGCATCTCTATTCGCGCCTAGATTATTATTAATCTGATTAAATTCTCAATTTTGATTGGATAATATTTTGCTGAAATTTCATTGGTCCATTGAACTCATATATTCTCATACATACAAACAGGCTAACAATTCATTCTACCAATGAAAATTAAGTAATCCTAGTGAACTGTATGTATCTTGTATTTATGATCAACACGACCAGTAGATTTTGTAAATGCTTACAGATTCTTACTTTGGAAATGCAGCTCCAATGTTGTCAATGTCACTGATAATCAACATGTTATGTATTATAATTATCCCGTGGATTGACTCAACATTGTTACTTGGTTTGTCGTAGAGGAAGGCTGAGGAATCTAAGACGTGCACTTCCTTCTATTTCAAAGTCCTCATAAATTTATTCCCCTTTATGAATTTCAATAAAGCAAGAACAACAGTTTATGCAGAAAAAAATGGTACCATTATTGTTTATGTCGTTGGCTTCTCATCAGCTGCGTAAACAGCCTATAGATATTATTACATTTATGTACAGAAACAATTTTAACATACTTACCCGGACAGTTCAAATTTAAACGAGAATAATTAATGTATATACACAATGATAATAATAATAATAATAATAACTTTATTCCGAATGATAACAATCATACAGACTGGAATTCTCAGCGTTACCTAATCAAATGGAACAGGGAATAAAGAGATGCAGTTACCAGTGCGGGAAGGAGACCCTGACAACTGCTTCTTTCTGAACACATGAATCAGGGTGCAAGCGTTCGTTAGCGACTGCTTCTGCAAAACTGAGGAAAATTTAACCATTTTGTCTACTGATAATTTTGAAGGACTTTGAGATGTCAACCTCATGACTTACATTGGTGAGGCGTCTGTCATTAGCATTATCGAAAGAGTTTATTCACTCGAGATATAAGGTTTTTGGTATATGTTCCAAAAATTGGAGATGTACCCTTCCGTCTGTCCTACCAGTGTAAATGCTCCCACAGACACATTTAAATTTTTATAGTATGAGGAGAGTAACTGTTGATTTTTGATTACATCAAAGAGCGTGTTTTCCGATATTATTATTATCATTATTGTTGTTTTCTTTAATTCCTACAGGAACATAGGGCTTCAGCTGCACGTCTCCATTGTGTTTGGTTCTCTGCTAGAGTTTTCACCTGGCTCCAAGTCTACCCACATGCTTTCATCTCCTCTTCACATGACCACCTCCAAGTCACCCTTGGACGACCAACTCACCGCTTCCGATTCAGCCGGGTTCCACTCGAGCAATGGCTTGTCTAGTGATGTCACTTGATGGTTTCCTCAGAGTATGGCCAATCCATCTCCATTTATTCCTTCTTATTTGCTGCACAATCAGTTCCTGCTGGGTTGGTTCGCTCCCAGAGATCGCTCCCTGTTGCTGATCTTTTCTGGCCATCTGATCTTGAGTATTGAGCGAAGACAACTGTTAATGAAGGTCTGTAGTTTGTTTGAGATGCTCTTTATGACGCTCAGTGCAAGTCTCTTATCCGTATAGTAGCACTGACTGACTTCACATTGGAGTTGAAAATCTGGATCTTATTTTTGATGCTGAGTGCTGTTGACCTCCACACAGACTTGAGAGTAGTGAAAGCTTGTTTTGCTTTTCCGATTCTTGCTTTGATATCCTCGTCAGTTCTGTCAGCCTGTAGTTGAAACGATGCTTCCCAGGTAGGTAAAAGAGGTTGTTTCTTTCAGCTTCCTCCCATTTATGCTGATTGTTGTCTGTTGTTGTTGCTGTTGCTGTTGACCAGGGATCTTCATTACCTCTGTTTCCTCTATGTTCATCTGAAGCCCTATTTTTAATTTTTCTTTTGCCAACTTGTTACTTTTCACTTGCGTATCTTCCAGTTTGTGTTTTCCGATAAACGGGAACCAATTTAGCTGCAGGAGAGGTTCTCGTCAGTGACGAATTCAGTCTTCTGGTGATTACTCCAGCAACATTATTACTTTCAAAGTCGAGGTGAATGAAGATAGGCTGTTTTCCCCGCCGTGATTTGTTTGATATTTGAATCTTCACATCTTCTGTACTTACTAATGCATCTCTGAGGTTGTCACCATGGTTTTTCAACATCTTTTCGAAAGTCGGAAATTCCTCCTCGAATTTCTCTACTGAGCATATTCTCTTGACTCTACAGAAAAGAGTTTTGACTGGTGATCGTTTATAGCTATTTGAATAAAAACTATAAAAATGTAAGTATTGTCCATTCCATGTCAGCTTTCGGTAAAAATTGATCTCTGGAGACTACCATCTTTCAGATGTTGCATGGTGTGATGTCAAGGAAATGAAACTTTCCATCACTTTCGTGTTTCAGAGTAAATTCAATATTTGTATGTATGTTGTTGAATAATCCAAGTAGGTAGGAAGCATGACTTTCATTGTTACACGTTACAAATGTCACATCTATATATCGACAGTAAGAAGCTGTTTAGTCGATTGTATGCTTCAAATTTTCTCTTTCAAGTTTGGACATGAAGATAGCTGTTAAGACAGAGCTACACCATCTATTTGGCGGTAAAGATTGATGTCAATTTGGAATTGCATATCCATAGTACACATTAGTAGCAGGCGTTTAAATTCCGACACTAGGAGTCGAAGAAGATCGGAATGCTGACAAATGACCTCGACATTTTCATTGACGGGGATCCTTGTGAACAAGGAGGTTACAACAAACGACGGCATGAATTTATTTGAAACGTTCATGTGATTCACACTTTCAGACTTGTCAACCAGATTTACATGCATTCCCATTGAAACACGAACAAACCTCCCACCATCGCCTACACCAAAGAGTTATCCAATAGAATGCAGGTACATCCAGCAGATGACAGTGAAACTGGACGAACTGGGTTTCGTGGATTCCACTTTAATGCACCACTGAAATGTCCATACTAGAAGCTGACATTTCAGCAACGACCAGGCATTTTGATGTTGTCAAATTCATTGGTTGGTGGGAAATTTAAAAGTGGCGGAGTTACAGTATAAATGATCCAATATAACAGGGGCAGTAATGACACCCAAGAGGTTAATCAGAGTAAATCAGGCTAGTTTAAATCAAAATCACGTCATATTCTTCAAAAAAAATGTTTAAAAAAGTCTAAGAACTGGCTGCCTTATTTGAAATATTGCCGCAGTAACTCCTAGTTTCATGCATGAGTGTTGGTGTTCATACAAAATGACCATCGTTGATGTTGAGTAACTTAAGTTTAGAGATAGAGGAGTTAGGATTTGGTTTTAGACACTTTTTCGGGATTAAATATATTTCGTAAATCCTGAATAGCATTCGTTTAACTATAAATGACGTGGTTTCTTCGGTATAACCTCTGAGTGACGATTTCAGGGGATTTTCTACCCTGATTTGCTTAGATTACTACCCTTCAAATTGGCCTCAAAACTTCACTCAGTATGTGTATGAGCTCACCATCGTTTAACAAGCCGCTTTTCAATCTTTTATCCAAAATAATATGATTGGGAATGTTAGGGAAAGATATAATGTTATGACAAACTGAAATAAATAACTCCTTAGCCAATCTGTTATGATCGATGTCTCCAGTTGAAATGAACTCATCAAAAAAATTGGTTTGTATTATTACTGTTCCCTTTTATTCCCAGTGGAGCATAGGGATTCAACTACACATCTCCGCTCTCTTCTATTCTATGCTGTCCTCTTCAGCTGACTGGGCCCACGATTACTGCACATAACCTCTCATCTCCCCTTCCTCCTCCTCACCACATGATCTTTTCCATGTCACCCTCACACCGACGACCCACTCGTCACTCCCCATTGAATCCCACTCTAGACATGATCTGTATTGAGGGCGATGTCATTCGACGATCTCTTCAAAGTATGCCCGATCCATCTCAATTTTCTACATATTTGTTGAGCAATCGGCTCTCGGTTAGTTTGTTCTCAACCACAGTTTCTTGATGCTAATTCTCTCTGGCCGTCCAGCCATTCGATCTTCAGTAGGGAGCCAGCAAGCGAAGGTGATAGCTGCTGATAAATGTCTGTGTCTTGATGGAAATCCTTTTCGTGAAGCGTGGTGTACGTTTCTGACCCGTATAGACGAAGTGACTGACTGACTTTACATTTGTGTGGAAAATCTGAATTCTGTTCTTTATGCCGATTGAGTGCAGAAGATTTCTAAACTGGTTTCAGGTTGATGAAGGTACATCTTGCCTCCCCGATTCTGACTGGCTTTGACATCCTCAACCGTTTCACCTGTCACTAATTGATATGATCCTGTCGACAGCTGATATGACCAAGTGGACTTGTGTGTAGATATAATAAGACTAACATAATGGACACCTCAACTGATTTGCTAAATACGTC